TGTTAAATTATTAATAGTTGGCCACGAACAGTAAATTTTCTGTTAACTCGAATTGAAAAGTTATTAATCGTTTAATCACCAAGCAGGGTTGTTGCTATATTGTAGATGATAGTGTGTTAGGTAAAAGATATTAATTAAGATGGACTGTGCATCGCGTCAATTATACTTTTTATTTAGAAAATAAGTACAAATTAAATATTTTATTTTATTTTATTTTTATTGATTAGGAAAACAAACAGCACTTACATAAAATAAATAGTACAAAATACACACTGATATGTGGGCCAATAAAGTTTTCACCACTAGCTATTATACACTTAGCATCAGAAGTATACAATTATAACACAATTATAATATCTTATTTTAACGGCATTTACATTTAAAAAGAAAAATGTTAAAGATAAGAAAAAAAGAAAAAACAAATACAAAACTAAAAACCTAAATTATTTGAAAAACAACATTTACAGATTATATATTTATTTCCATTTTGATTGCGGCAAAACATTTTTCTATACTATCTCGAAAAATGTCAATACGAATATGTAATCTATGTGATTTTTATTTTGTACTTTTGTAGAGATCGCGCGGAGATGTTGATTTTTCATTCGTATTATAAACAAATTCCGCTAGTGGCATTGGCCAAATACAAAATTTTACTCACTATTCGGTCACTTCATTATGAGATGAAGTTAATCTAGTTTTGTTTAGTTTTTCACACATTTACCAAAATCATTTATTAAAAAAACCAATGATTTTAATTTAAAATAACACTCCGTTGAAAATATGGTGTACAGAATTAAGCGGGTTTCTGTTTCATTGCACGTTCTGAACTTTGTTTGCTGTAGCCGAGCGGTCAAGAGGTTAGCTTCCAGCGAACAAATTTTCCATTCGAGCAAAGACGAGCGCAGTCAATTTTACTTTGAATCGATGACGGGCCGAACTTAGTTGGAATGTAATAGGTTAAGAGAAACTTTTATTTGTTAAAAGTATTACTTTTAATAGACAATATTTAACTACTTTGCTATTAGGTGATAACCCATCTGCAACCCTACGGGTGTGGCAAATCTCAGTGGGCGGCAGTTATCACATAATATCAGGTGACCGCCAGTTCACCTGCCACCTTCTCGCATAAAAAAAATTCGGAGCAAATTCGCTGGATGTGTTCCTCACAAGGAAGACCCGAGAGACTATTGAAATAAAGAAACATCCTAATTTCAATAAAGAAGATGGTTGAGGTCATTAGCTTGGGATCCTGTAATTAATAAAACTAAATCCAAGCTCAACAACATAGTTAGACCTCAAAATACTATAAACACTTTTTTCATAGATCGTAATAAAATATATGATAAAATAATTAGCGGCAGCCCGGTTTAAATCTGATATGAGGACGTAAATCACATCCGTCCGATGATGCAATAAAATCCGTAATTTGGTTTTATATAAACCGTGTATAGTTTTCACGTTAATAAAAAATAATCAATATAAGAATAGCAATTTATTTGGTGCCCAGAAGTAGCTAACTGTTTGAATTTTTGGCATGGTTTTTTTTAAGGATTCGTATTAGAATTAAAAGATGACGTATGTACATATATGTCTGTAAAGTGGAGCTAAATTAAAGCGGCTTTACTTAAGCATACGTGTTCTGGAAATTTTGGAGGTATGTATTGATAACAATCTTTTCTTGTAATTTTATCTTCTTACGTAGATACAACCACCCATACAACACTAGTCCTGTTGTGTTGTGTTGCATCTGTTAACTTTTTAGGATGTCAACAATGGAGGGTGGACAGTGGAAATGCAAAAGTACAAATACTTACATTTGACATCAATACTAAGGCGTCATAGAAATGAGGCCCTAGTATTTCCGCAAATGAGCCTGCCCATTTGTGTAACAGAATGAACAGCCGCGTAGTTACAACTTAAAAAGTTATCAATGAGACTTTATTGTGCATTGTCCCACATTTTAGTTTTTCTAAGCCTTAATGTTTTACAGAAGATTATAAATGTTTCAATACAACATTCATTTGCCACCTTCTTCCTGCATGGTGTACGTTAACATAGAGACAGCCGGTGAACAATGGCTAGAGTCAACTATTGAAAATGCTAGAGATCAGAGATGGAACCTGAATGCGATATTCAAATGTTTTACTAGATACGGAAAAAATATTTCAGCTACAAATTGAAATTCGTACCGTACTCAACTTGGTTTGACTATTTATTACATATACAATTTTTTTTGTTATATTGTTCAACACTGCATTACTTTGTGGAGTTTCGGTAAAGAGATTTGCCTTAAAAAACTTTTCTTCTACCTTGCCCTGTGATAGATAAAATTTGAAATATTAGTGTAACATTGTTTATGTTACACTAATATTTCAAATTTTTATGATACATCTGATAGGCTTCGTTACATCAAATGAATAAGGTATTATTGCGGGATAGTGCAAGTTCCGTTAATATTAATGCGCAAACTTTACATTGCTCATGCTTTTATTACGTTATACAAAAGAATATTTCAATGCAATGTCGGACAATGCAGTGGGTAGGAACACAGAATCAGTAAGGTCAATTAGAAAATAATGCTCCCATTCAGAGCATCCATAAAATGTTTTTGCTTTTGTTTTAGCTGTATTACTAAAGAAAACTTGTGATAAATTAAATGGGAATGTGGGCTTGGTTCAATTTTCAACCAAAAATAAATAGAATAACATACCTAGTTGACATTTAGCAAGGATTTTCAGTTGCAACGATAATGTTTGACAAGAGAATATATTTTCAATTAATATAGCAAATTGATAAACAACAATAAAGATTTTCTTTAGCATTCCTTATTCATTTTCTTCTATATTTAACACTAGCGACCCGCCCTGGCATCGCGCGGGTGCTATTTAATAACATATAAACCTTCTCTTGAATCGCTCTATCTAGTAAAAAAACCGCATCAAGATCCGTTGCGTAGTTCTAAAGATCTAAGCATATATAGGGACAGACAGACAGCGGGACAGTTTTGTTTTGTACTATGTAGTGAAGGGCTTAATCATTGTGATGTATGTATTAATATTCTTATACTCTTATGATCTTAGGATGATTTTACGATTTTACGATATTTCACTTACAATCTAAATAAATGAAACACGTACTTCTACGTATTTCTACGCCATTCGTGAATATTCGATATCGCCGCTGTAGCGTGTAATCTGCCTATTATGCTGTCTTAAAGCCGTAAGTTCGTTCAACGCCGCAGAAAAAGCACACTGAATGGAACGCGGTCAGGGTCGTAGTTTTCCGAGCCCGACTTGACGTGTACCACGGAATTATATATGAGTCTTATTACCTGACCGGAGCAATTGAAGGATAAATGCGACCTTCGCCGATCGCCTCTGCCGGGCGGTCGGGCGGAACACAAGCTTTTAGATGCGTTATGTGTTTTTGTCTCTCTTGGACGCAACCAGCTAGTACTGTTAGAGTAGGACAGCCAGAAACTGGGATAGGTTCCTTGTTTTAGGCCAGTTTTATTTGGTCCTTCTGGTCAAGTAGCCTTTTCTGGCCGGTTTAATTTTTTATTCGCTACTATTACAGATGCATTGGGACAAAATGATTTGAAAGTAGATCTATGTAGCTAACTTTTAAAATGGGAATCTGGCAAAAAAATATTAATAATGATAGTTAACTATATGATGCCTATGATTTCCAAGGTGACCATGATAAGCACCAGCACAGCCCCTAGCGCCTCATAACACATTTTTATTATGATAAAGTAAAATAATCATGAGGAATACGCCGCGTGTTAGCTATAAATATAGTATGCCGGTCATAAGTTTTATCTGTAAAACGTGCAAATTGGAACCTTTTTTTATACGGAAACTGAATATGGAAGTTAATTAAATTAAGTTAAATGTTGTATTTTATTTAAATTTCGAATACTACTCGTTTCATTTTTATCGATCCAAATGATTTTGTTATTTTTTCCCTTTTTTAAAGTTCTTTCTTTTGTGAAAAACACCAGTTTATATTTTCTTATTATTACGTCGGTAAGATCGAAAAATATTATGCGTGTTTCATTACTCAGTAATTTGTATCTACATGTAATTTCCAAAATAAATGATTTACCGAAAAAAAAAAAAAAACAATCCCCAGGTCCCCAGGGTCCGTAAAAGGTCCCCCAGGTACTGACTTTTTTAATAGCTGTTTAAATTTAATGTTAAGCAGGGTATTGTTACAGTTCCACCATTTTCATATTATTACTTAACGTATTTGTTGGAATTTGGTTGTTAAATACTTGCATTTCAGTATCTTTCTTTTTTACTCGGATAGTTTAAGCTCTCCTAGCTAGGAATATTCACCTTCTTCAATATCTCATTCATATTCTTAGCTAAGATAAGCTGCTGTAATTAAGCTGCTGCAAAAAACCCTCGAGCAGTAAGTACTCATTGTCCAGTAAAGGTTTCAAATGTAATATTAACCGGACGAATACATTCAGAAGTTCGCGGTATACATATTATTTATATCTTACTATAGACAGGAACTTTTGCCGTTATAACATTGTGACTTTGAATGTTCAAGTAATCATTAAATTAAAATGACAGCTGCTTATACCCACCCATGTACCAATTTACACAACGTGCTCGGAGTAAAGTTTGGAATATTAGAAGCAATATTTGAATTATGTTTTTTATTCACATTTAATACTATGAAAGTCTACAATAATATAAAGAATGGACGAACAATAAAATTTTACATCGTTCTTATTACCGTCAATAATCATTAACGTTTAATGAGATTGCCAGTAACGCAGAAAGGGGGGTGTAATTCTGAAGTTTGCGTCAGTATCAGGTAATTACGGGATCAGGTGACCGTTGCGGAAGCGATATTCGGCGTCGCTTGATACTTCCCGAAATTAATGTTTGCGTATTGAGTCGATGCTTCACCCAAAATGAGCAGTGTAGTCGATAAGCCGGGAGTGTGTGCTCGGCGGAGCGGGCCCGCAGATCGGGCCTACAATGCACGTTGTTTATCCGCTGGGGCCGGGGCGGGCTGGGGGGAAGTGCGGGGGGCAGGGCTCCCGGCCGGGCCCGGAGCGTTCAGTCTGTCGACGCCTGCCGCCGCAGTTGCACGCGAACGTGAGTGCACCAGTGCAATTCCCGGCAACCACCCGACAACCCGACCTTCAATCCGTGCGAACGAGACGTCTATATCAAGGTGAGAGACGTATTCGGATTTGTTTTCTCCCACAGCATCAAGCCTGATTTTTCCAACATAAATTTTCGTCTCCTTTAACAAATTCTGTTATGCAATATAAATTGGCCGATAGAGGTTTTAGCGTAAATCGGACGAAATCTTCGTAGCGTTTCAATCCCGTAGCACATCTCGTAGACGTCATGTGTTTTTATAGTTCAGACACGGGAGCGTTCGGCGACGGCAAAGCGTTGGGTAAAAGCACTGTTATTAGTTCTGTTTTCAGGGTCAAGACAAGGTCTTTCAAGTGGGGTTGTTGATAATTTGCGAGATCAAATGGGGCGAGCGTAGCAATGCGCGGCTCTCACGCCCGCAGCGTTGTCGTTTCTTCGTAATTGTCCTGAAAGCCTCGACCTTGTTCCGCACGCGGAACGTGAGGTCTTTGTTTAGTTTCAAAATTTATACAATTCAAATATTTAAAAATATAAAACAGATGCAACAAAGAAACAAGGAGAATAATTTTCAATATGCTAAAGCATTATTTGAAGTAATTGAGATGACATATTCGTTTTTCTCATGCTTTAAATTTATGCACATTTTAAACCACAGCAAGTTGTAAATGCGTACTAATCTTTTGTAGGTGATTGTACATTTGGGTGAAATCACTTGACCAGTTTAACGTCTTGAAACTAATTATTCTGCGACATTTCCTTAAATGATACGCAGGATCAACCGTGAGATTATCATGTAAAATATTTTTACAATTTTCGCAGTAATATATCGAAGGATAATATCAATAACACTTATAAAATTTAATGACACTTTAAAATTAGATGAATGTAAGGTAATGGTAATCTATGCTTTATAAATAATTGTAATCTTTTTTAAAATAAATTATTTTTATTTTTTTTATTTTATTTTATTAAGCTCACCTGCAGATGTGACAATAAAACTTTCTTAGATCATCTATATACTATGTAAATGCTTAAAACAAATTCCACATCCAAATTATAGGCAAACACAACATTTATAGATTCACGTATTTTTAAGTAAATGTATGTTACAGAGAAAAAAATACAACTAAAACTATGTTATGGGGAGTTGAGTACAAACTAATATTCAATATTGTTTCTTTCATCCCAAGATGTGTAACATACATATTAAGACCAATGCTTTTGAAAATATCGGTTGATAATTAGATTTGTTGCTTGGGACGATATGCGTAATACCTACATATATATACGGAAGCGGTGATAGCTCAGTGTCTGAGCGCTTCCTTTTAATTCGTTTTACTTAAGCAACCCGAGTTCAAATCTCGGTGCCGGCACCAATGAAATTATTAATGCCAATTTTCGGACTCGGTGAAGGACAACATTGTGAGAAAACCTGCATTTTTTCGAAATGATAAAAAAAATGTTTATTATCATTATACGTTTCTTATAAAAATATTTATAATCATATTTATTTGTTAGTAACGACCTGCCCCAGCTTCGCACGGGTGCAACGTAAAAACCTTTACGTGTTGTACGTAAAAACCTTCCTCTTGAATCACACTATCTATAAAAAAAGCCGCATCAAGATCCGTTGCGTACTTTTGAAGATCTAAGCATACATAGGAACAGGCAGACAGCGGGATCACTTTGTTTTATACTATGTAGTGATATATAAGGGACTGCATCGGAGGCAGCTGAAATAAGTAAATTGCGTAAATATGAGTCTCAATGTGTAGATTATGTTTTTGTGCCATTTGCTGTTAAAACTTGTTGAGGTCCGTGGGGATCCCGAAGATCATTTTTTTTTAAAACTGTATGGCCTAGGCTTAAAGCCGCGGCTGGTGACAAGAGAGCTGGTTCTTTTCTCGCTCAAAGGTTAAGCATAGGTTTAGGTTAGGCGGCAGGTTAGGCACCATGCCGCGTGGATTAGGTTTATTAGATAATATGTAATTTTAGATGTAATGTAAATATTAGATAAATAAATTTTACTTGATTTGTAATAATATTTCAGTTATGTTAAATATAGAAAGTTATGTAATGTCAGCCAATCTGCAAAGGGGTCACGTGCTGGACTGTAACCTAATACACTCTTTACAGAGGAGACTATTACCCTGCAGTGGGATACATATAACTTTATTTTACTATCATAAAATGTCTTGTTATTTATTCAAGCTTTGAGTGTAAAGTGAAGTAATAACTAAATTTTTATTTGAAAATAATAGCATCACATAAAGAATTAAACTGTTCCTATTCTTTTTGAATATGCGTGATTCAAGAATACTTTATTATTTTTTTTTTTAATGTGAAAAGTTGTCAAACGAGCAGACGGTTCACCTGACGTTAAGTGAATGCCACCGCCCATGGACATCTGCCACACCCGAGGGTTACAGATGCGTTGACAACCTTTTGAAAGTTGGGCTCCGGCTACCTCCCTCACCAGACGAAACGCGAAAGTATTTGTAATACTTCCACTTTACGCTGGTCTTCTGTGAGGTCGTGGTACTTACCCGGACGGGCCTGCCCATTCGTGCAACAGCCGAGGCTGCTGCGTGGCCCTACCACAGTAAAATTTATGTATTTTGAATCACATATATTTGCGAATCTCAATCATAGCCCAATTATAATATGTAATTATCAAACAGATAATTTATATGGAATAAATAATGGTGAACATCATATCAGAGATCTTATATCGGATAATATATCTCAGAATTGTTTTGATATCGTTACATCTTAAAATTTATAGCCCAATTTCTATGGTTCACAGATAAAGAATGCCCATAGGCAATAAGTCCACCCTTTGTATGCGTTGGCATAAAGCTAAAGCAAAAAAAAAAAAAACAAATGATTGTCTGTGTTTGTATTGTAGCTCAGACTTAAGGGCTGTATAAAAGTTCACGACATATCTCAGAAAATACAATTTTTATAACAAGAATTCATTAAAAAAAAAAAAGTTACACAGACTGGCAGTATGCTTAGCATATCATTGGAACTAGCGAATACAGACTGCGAATCCAGATATAAATTTTGACCAATCAAAAGCATCATCAGGTTGAAACGGAATCATTGGATTCCGGCCATCGAGGCCTCGGACCTGATGTAATTATTGTTTGATCACGCAATCATATTCATCCAAGGACATCAATCATGTTGGAACGAATACAAAGAACGTGTCACCTGTAACATCATCAATATTGTATTCATGTATATACGAGTATCTCTGACAGAATATTACGCTTTCTGCATCGTTAATACGCCAATACGCCACAGTAATTTACTACTCCAATTCAATTATTGGTTTTGATGTGGTCATCTGTCCGTTAATCGTTAAATTTGATTATGATATTTGATATTGATATTTTTAAACTATATAAATAGTTTGATTATTATAGTATTATTTCTGAATGATCGCGCCAAAGTTATATACGAGTAGTTCATAATTAAGCTTTTATATTGTATATTCCCCCCATATTTATTGCTATAAGGAAAGGAAAAGTTGGACTGCAAAAGAATTTGAATATAGCGGAAATTTTAATTATTTCAATAATTGTAACTTTAAAATGATTTTAATTGTGTATGCATTAATTTAGGTATCCATTATTGTAATGGATTCGTTTCAATAAATGTTTACCCACTTGCAAACATTTGAGCAAAATTGATGGTAATATTTTACAACACAAAATAATTTTATGCATATTATTAACAATTGATGGAAAAAGTCTTTTAGTTTTGAATCAAAAATCAATAATTTACTTCCGAATTTGAAGGTTAAACATTCGTTTTCTTCAGATTTTATCACAATTAATCGTAATTTCTACACTAATATATTATTCATAAATAATGGGCTTTATTTATCTCTTTCTAGTTTATTATTCACATACAATTATTTTTATTTGACGATGTCAAATATCTAAGCTGAGGAAGTATATTAACATAACGATGTGAGTCTTATAGAGTAACGTTAAAAAGTAGTGGTACTTTACTGTAAATACTTTTGTTATCTACATTATAATACCTTACATCGTATCCATTTGCGTTCAAAAAGAAGCGAGTTCTTCTTTAACTTGGAAAATAATGAGTTCCCGAGTCAAAGGATTTCGAAGATAATGGTAGAAAAGAGAAATATGTACACAAAGGATTTGTCTTTGAGGACCGTCTTACATACATTCCGATATATCAAGTATTAGAAAAGGAATATTCTAGCTAACTTAACCCGCTTTGGCATCGCGCGGGTAGAAAAATCAAAGTTATCATTAAAAAATAACGCCCATTTACATAGAAATAAAGCTACGGCAGACATACAGCCTAAGTTCTTCGTGGATTATGAAGTCTTTAATTAGCTTTTTAGACTCATTGAAGTTATTTCAGAAACATTATAACATACAAACGATGAAAGATGACGACCCGAATGGCGTAGTGGGTAGTGTACCTCCCTCCTCAGAAGGCGTGGGTTCGATCACCACTACTGGAAAAATATTGTGTGATGAATATAGCGAAAGTTTCTCGGCGTATAATATATGTATAAGATATAATAATTTACAAAAAAAAAGTATGTTTAAGTATGTTTATCTGTTATCTAGTACCCATAATGCAAGCATTGCTTAGTTTGGGACTAAAAATATTTTTATACAATTAACATAAGATTTACGCAATGTAATTTTAAATTGCATGATTTGTTCAGACATTAAAAAATATCCCTATAAACATATGGTCACCTTTTGGAGTGCGTAGTTATAATTTAAAAAAATTTTGCAAGCTAAAATCAATGAAGGGAAATAAGCAATAAACAAAGAATCGTATAGTATATAAATGTAACACATTATTCGTGGGCATCCCAAATGTGCAGTATCGTGGTCTTTTCTTAATTTATTAATGCTTCATTGCCTACCTTAAACAGAGATTAAAAAGAATTTAATTGAAAAATACAGAAATTATTTTTATCTTAATCGTAGATTTACGCTTTTGCGACTGTAAGAATTTATGCTGATCGTCGTATTGGGTGATCTGATGTCATTTTATAGGACTAAGGGACTAGGCATAGTGGGATAGTGTGTAAAAATTATATCGCAGTCATAAAATACATACATATGTTTATGAGTGTATCGATAGAAGCGCCGTGCTTCTGAGCATACGAGAACCCACACATACGAGTATGTTTCATTTAGCTCCACCATATGCTCTCACGATACTGCACAGCCACGTGTTAATTCGAAACAACTTACTCACGTGTCTAGACGAACTTTAGACGGGGCAGCTCACGCGACTCCGTCAACCGCCCACTGTTCTGGCTGAGTTTATTTCGGTCGCCGCCCACGCCGAGTCCCGACGCACGTGCTCCACCAGACGCGTTTACGA